TACCTCACAGACTCCTTATGACACTCTAGGCTGTCAAACCCTGATTATGCACAAACCCAGGTGCTCGGCACCAAGAATCAAGGAGGAACCACAAAGCCCACAGAGGCATGTGCAATCCAGCCAAGCTGGAACCAAACACGTGCCCTAAAGGCGGCTGGAGAGCACACAGGCTACTCACAAGGGCGAATGAACAGTCTAAAAGGGGCAGAGCAGCAAAGGTCTGACCCCACTTAGGGGAGGTCAATCAAGGCCCCCACCCACTGCCCTGCTCACGGCAGCTCTGCGTCAATCTTTACCCTGCTCTAGTAGGCACACTGAACATTGCCTTCTCGGCTAATTGGCCTTTATTAAGGGAATGATCCACAAGGAATAGACTTTCCAAAGGGGCCAGAAAGTCACTGCTCTGCCAGCCATGATTTAAAGTGATGGGACAGCTCTGCCTGCAAGCGTAAAAAGTGACCATTATCCTGAGTGGCAATTATGCCACCAACCCCAGTCCTACCCCCTATCGCTCCATATTCAGACAGGAGTCTTATTTGGGTTAGGAGGAGCTGGGCTAGGATCACAATTTGCTGTCCCAGGAGGGGGACACAGGACCCCAGCACCCAAAGGATCCCCTCTCCAGCCCACACTATATTTCCCCAGCCCCTTAAAAAAAAAAAAAATCAAACCCATTGCCGTCAAGTTGATCCCGACTCACAGCGACCCTACAGGACAGAGTAGAACTGTCCTACAGAGTTTTCAAGGAGCACCTGGTAGATTCGAACTGCTGACCTTTTGGTTAGCAACCATAGTTCTTAACCACTATGCCACCAGGGTTTCCCCCTCAGCCCCTACTCATAGTTAAAAGCTCTGAGCCTCCTCTGCACTCCTGGAGGGGCTTACCAGTTGCCGTCAAGTCGATTCCAACTCATGGTGACCCCATGTTGCAGAGTAGAACTGCTCCATACGTTTTCAAGGCTGTGACCTTTTGAAAGCAAATCGCCAGGTCTTTCTTCCAAAGCGCCTCTAAGTGGGTTCAAACAGCCAACCTTTTGGTTAGCAATCAAGTGCTTAACTGTTTTCGCCACCCAAGCAACTCCTTGGAGGGGCTTTGGTTCACCTAATCTCTATCTGGAGTATTCAGCCAGACGGCCTCGGGATGGGGGTGGGGGGGACTCAGAGAGAGAACTGACTGAGGGAAAAGCCCTGGATCCTATATGGTTTCCATTGCTAGGAGAAACACCTTGGTTTGGGTTTGATTACTGGTGGACAAGACCCTGAGGATGGAGATGCATTTGTCTCAATTCAGGCCTCCTATTCCCTATCCCTGGTGACACAGTGGTTAAGAGCTTGGCTGCAAACCAAAAGGCTGGCAGTTCAAATCCACCAGTCGCTCCTTGGAAACCCTACGGGGCAGTTCTACTCTATCCTATAGGGTCGCTATGAGTCAGAATCAACTCAAGGGCAACAGGTTTTTTTTGTTTGTTTGTTTGTTTTATTCCCTATCCACCAAGAAGCCAGCACTCTCTTTGGCCCTGAGAACTGGGGCAGGAATCACCACTGACTCCTCATATTCTACCCCATATCAGGCCCTCAGAAATGCTGCCCGCCTAGGTGCCCCAAACTCCCATAGTGCACTGGGGTGCCAAGATGCCTAGCACTGTCTGGTTGAAGTCAGCAGTGCCAGAAGCAGACCTGGACCCCCACCAGCAGGCAGGCACCCAGCAGCCTGTAAGGCACCTGCCCTTTTCTTAGTAAGGAGGAGGATCACTCGCCACATAGCTCTACCTCTGATCCTGCCCACAGTGACGTCACCCAGGCCCTCACCAATACCAATACCCTGGAAGCTCCACCCAGTGACAAGAACCAGGGATTCTAATGCCTGCAAGGGGTATGCAGCGCAAGACAGCTGTGCCTCTCCTTAGCACTCCTAGTGGGCTCAAAGGAGGCAGAGGGGGTGCGGCAGAGATAGCAGCAGGTTTGGAGAACTACCAGGTAGGCTCTGCGATCTGTGCGAAGGTCTCTTATCTATTGATTGCAGGCCTCAGGTTCAACTCTAATGCCTTAGAAAGGCTTTCTTTCGGGATCTGAGCCATGAGAGTAGAAAAAGCAATGGGTACAAAATTCCTAACAATTGCTCTGATCTTGGAGGCCAAGACACTCCCCACCCCACCTCTGAGCAGCCCTTACCCCACCCTCTCACTCGCCTCCTCCTGTCTTTCACTTCCTTGTGTAGACTGGGAAGCAGCAGAGGTTTCCCAGGGACCCTGCCTTATCAACTACCCCACCCGCTTTTAACGCAAGCACCTTCACCCCTTTTCTTGTCATTTGGATCCTTCCTTTGCTCCTTCTCTCAGATCAAGCCTGAGTACCTTCCTACAGAAGTCTCATCTGAGTAGAGCTGAGTAACCCATCATCCCCAAATCCTGGCTAGCATGCTGCCACGCCTGCTCCTTCACCTCCCGCTAAGCACAGCAGCCAACACTCTCTCTTACATACACAAGCATCGATTTCTTTTTTGCTAGATTTTTCATCTTTCCTACAATCTATGTCTCATTTCATTAGCACATTCGTTACCAACATAAAAGGACTGGATCTTTGAGACCAATTTTGTCTAGCTGTTACCATGTCATGAGAATTCTGAAAATATTAACTAATCCGCAAAGTCAGAGACTAGGAGACAGCTGGACTCCTTGCCTGGTAAGACAGTGGTGATGTGTACCCTCTAATTAGGAGGAAAGTTCTTTGACTGATGACCATGAAGCAAGGATAGTCCACCGACTAGCTCATTAACCTCTGCCAGGCTTTTAAGGAAAGATGGAAAAGAGCCACATGTTACCCCACAGTAACGTGCTAAAAGAAAAAAAAAAATGTTGCCATCAAGTTGATTCTGACTCATACTGACCCCCTGTGCAAGGTGAGCCTTAATCAGAGGCAAGTTTGATAAATAGCTTCTCTTCCCTATGAAGTAGGACCTGGGAACCCATACCACATAATAACATGCCAAGAATGTAACGCTCTGGCCTTCCACTCATTTACTCACAGAGAATGAAAGCCTACTATGTGCCGAGCACACACCATTGTGCCGGCCTCTGAGAAGGTGTCCAAACCAAACTGGGAGCATACTGGAAAAGAGCCACCAGCAGTTATATCGATTCCAGCCAGCAGGTGGCGAGGTGGGGGTGGGGAGGAGCGGCGTGGAGTTGGGAGTTACTGGCCAAAGGCATCAAGCATCACCATGACGGGGGTTCTTCCTAATAAGTGTTAAGATATGCACGGTGGGGCAAAGCAGAATGGTAGGTAGGGACTATGAAAAAGGGCAGAGAGGAAAGTTATGAACAACGAAAAGCACAGATTCATGTAAGTCCAAAGGCACTAAGAAGTACATACACAGATGCCGGCAAATGAGTCAAAGGAGCAAGAGAGACTGGCCCACCAGCAGACTACAAAGTCATTCTCGACATTCCAAACGATTCTCGCCACCCAGAATTAGAATATCTCCGCCCCCGTTTTCATAAAACCCTAACCACATGACAGGTAACATCCCAATCGCAGCGGCTGGAGGGTCCCAGCTGACGACATCCAGGGTAATCCAACTCAAATCATCTCAGACCAGGCTCCTTGGAAGAGAAGCAGTGGTCTATGCTCAGGCAGGGGAGGAGGTTTGCCTCCCCAATGAGAAGGCCAGGATACATTTAGGCGCCTCCTCATCCAGCTGTGGGACATCCCATAATTAAGGAGGTGATGACACTGAGTGAGACCATCACGAGAGCCCCCCAATGGACCGGAAGGGAACCCCCCAGAACTTGAAGGATAAAGTGACTTGCCCAAGGTCACACAAGAAGCTAATGCAGAACCATACACCCAAAAGAGTTATTTCCGCTAAAATGAGTCACTCCACACAAAAGTTGAACACCGAAGCACAACTGCTTCTACTCAACTTCACTCTGACTTTTCCCTGCCCCCAGGGCTCCTCCTGGACCACGGGCAGCTGACGGCCTCCAGCGGGCAGGAGGACAGGCTCTGGGGCAGAGCCAGACATCTGTGCTGACTATGTCTGGGCTCTGATGAAGAAAGGCAGAGGCAGCAGTTGGGGTGAAGGAACAATTAGAAATGAACTGAAGAAGTTTTCAAATCTTCCCAACTAGTATTTCTTTTACACAGGCACACACACACAGCCTCCAGAACCACACAGAAACCAGAGAACAATTCCGAGCTGCCCCACACACTGACATCTTCTCTAAAAATTAATCTCTCACCAAGGACAGGGACACCTCTGATTGTCTCCCTTTTCCCCTTCCAGCACCTGGGGCTCCTGAGCCTGGGAGGGCTGGCATTCCATGGCAGGGGCCATGGCCAGCCCGCTCCTTGCCCAGTCCACCGCAATCCCTTGAAAGCAGCAACTGGCCACCCGATGGCAGCATCCCTCCCACACACCTCCTTTCCCACACAAGCCCCAACTATAGGGGCAGATCTGAAGGCTAGCGAGCGAGTACTTGGGCTTGGGACAGGGGCACCTCCTCCTTTTCCTGGGATTCACTGAAAGGAGGGGGAGGATGTGACCTCTACCCATCCCACTCTCATAAATGCTGCAGATTGTATTCTTGTGGATTCAAGAGGAATACAAGAAGAAACTCAGAAAACCATCCTGACTTGTGCCTCTTTTCAACTCAACAAGCTGTTAAAAATTTTGACCCTCCCCCGCATTTTGCAGGTTACCCAGGCACATCCAGCATGGGTTCTCTCATAGGAGAGGGACGTGGTGGCAAACTTTGCCAGCCTCCTGGGAGTACAGCAAGTTTCTCCTAGAAGACAGGAAGTTGGAGCCTCCATTCAGCCACCATGGAGAGGGAGGAAGGGAGAGAGATGCATAAAAGGGAAGAAAAAAACTATTTAAAAAACTTACCATGTGCAGACAGCGGAGCAATGCAGCACAGAAGAGAAGAGAGGGTATCACACTATAGTAGACAAAGAGGATGGATGAGAGGGCAAAGGGAGAGATAAACGGAAGGACTTACCCAGAATATCAAATTGAAGAGGAACATCATGTACTTCAAGCAGCAGAGGCAGCCCCTGGCCATGTTGCACTTTTTAAATTCTAGGAGGAAAACAAAGGAGAGGTCCAGGTAAAACACCACGTACTTGCTGCCTTTGGGTGCATTGTACTTGTCGGTCTTAACGCCGGCCTCGGCGTGGCTCTGGCCCCGGGAGCCCGCGTTGCCGTAGAAGGCGCCGGCAGCAAAGCTGCGGCCAAACGGGCGGCCCGAGGTGGACGGCTTGGCAAAGTCCGAGTCCTTGCTGTCCAAAGATGGACTCCGGTGGATCGAAGAATCCTCGCTACTCGACTTCTCCATGCTCGCGTCGTTCCCGGGGGGCCCGAGGGGCGGGGGGCATTGCTCCCGGAGTGGGACGAAGGGGGCGCCCAAGTCGGACGCTCGGGCCAGCGGAGCCTTGCACGCCCCCTCTCTGTACCGGGGCGCACTCCCGGCTGAACCCCGCGCCCAGGGGCCGCTATCTCTCGGACGGCGCCCGGCTCTGGCCGGCCGGCCGGCCAGGAAGGGCTCTGCGGCTCGGCAGCGCTCTACGCGCGCTAGTGAATGCTCTCCGGGAACTGGCTCAACTTAGCGTCTTTGGGAAGGCTGCAATTTTATTTCTCTGTCTGAGGCGTCTGCTCGCCTCGCCTCCCGAATGCACCGGCTGCTCCACTCGAGGCAGAAGGGCGCCGGGCTTCAGGCTCCCTGGGCACACCTCTCCCAGCCCAGCCCGAGCGCTGAGACCGACCACTTTGCGGGCGCTCCGCCTCCTCGCGCTCCACGACTTTGACGAGCTGTTCGCCGGCCCTGGGCTGCCCGGGAGCGCGGCGAACAGTGCCGAGGGATCCGCCGCAGCTGCAACCGCTGGGCTTTCCCTGCGAAATCCCAGCCCCGACTCCCGACTCTGAAATCGCCGGAGCCCCTTCCCCGGGCCCTCGGCCCCGCCCCCTGCTTACCATTCGACCAATGGGCGCGCCGCCTACCCGGCCCCGGTCGAGGAACCACCCCCCTCCCCAATGACACAGTATCTTTAATAGGATTAGCGTTCTGCTGTGTGCCTATACAAGTGCGCTGCGAACCCTCACTAAATGTCAAGGGCTCTTTAGCTGGGGGTGAACCAGAACCTTCTTCTGAAGGCGCCGGTCTCTTTAAACCAGAGAAAAGGGGACGACGAGGGGGGACTGGAGGTACCAACCCCCATGAAGGAAGCCAGAGGAAAGGTCTGTGGGGGAAAGAAGGGCGACCACTGTCGAACTGGACACGCGGAGGCCTGTCCGGCCAGGGCGCACAGTCTCTCGGCTATACATGCACACGCGCGCGCGCGCGCTCATACACACACACACACACACACACGCACACACACGCACGCACACACACCACGCTTTTATACATGTGGGTCTGGCTACGGCACCCAAGGAGAACGGACCGCAAGGCAGGCGCGAGGTATGGGAAAGGCGCTTGGGGCCTCCGCGGTGCGCGCGCTACCCTCCCCGCCCCTCTGCGCGCACGCGCGTGCGTTCACACATACGGCTCCACGAGGCTCCTGCAGCTGTATGAGCCCCCATCCCCGCAATCCCGGGTAGAACGCCACGCTAGCTGGGACCCTAGCCCGACCGAGAGTGGTAGGTGGCCGAAGTGGGGGTCCTGCCTTGCCCCTCCGCATCCTGCCTATGCCAAGGGTGATACAGGAGTGCTTTTGGCCACAAGCTGGATCCTCTCTTGTGAGGGCACCAAAGGGGCTGGTCAGGGAAGCTGCATGCGAAACCCTCTTCCTAGGGGCTTGGAAACATCCAGGAGCAGCCCTTCATAGTTGGGCTTGTGCAGGAGTCTACAGTGCCAACCTGGGGCCACGACAGTTTGCAGACAAAGGATGAAGGCTAGAAGGCTTGGGGGCAGGGATCCCATCTCTCTTTTCTGCCACCATCCCTGTCACCCAGCAATGGAGTGCTGACAGCACCTGAAAGTAGGGGCCACGTCTTACTAGGCTCGGTATGCCCAGCACTTACCATGGGGCTTGACTTCTGGGAGGCACTCAATAGGGATGGCTGGGTAGAAGCACATGCCTAATGTGGGGGTGGGGTGTGAAATGTCCTCCCTGGATCCAATCAGACATTTATTCCACACCTGCTATGTGCTGAGCATGGGCCAGGCCCTTGGGGGAACAGATATAAGATGTGCTGCTCCCTGCCCTTCAGGTACACACAATCTAGTCAGGGAGATAGGAGGACATTCATCACCAAGCTGGGGCAGATGGGAGAGTGGGGGAACAGAGCTGCCACACTGACTATGGCTGTGTGGGAAGGGGGCCATGAATCCCAACCAGGGGGACTTCAAGGCCCTCATCACAGGGTTGTTACAGTGACACGTTCCATACCTCCCTAGCCCGAGGCAGGCCTGCACCCTAGAAGTGAAGGCTCCCAGAGTTTGAGGGCAGCGCAGCTTCTCTGAAGGAACCTGCAGTGGTTTTATTATTCTGAGCCCCTTCTCGACTCAGATGGGGAGCCCGGCAATAAAACATAGTGTGGATCACAGTCACCGGCAACTTATTCTCCCATGGATGGGCACAGCGGTCCTGTGAATGCTATCTACAGATGAAGGGGGCAGATGTCTAGCTGGCTCCTGACAGAACACCATGCCACCTGACTGGAATGCCTAACGCCTTCTGTCCTCTTCAGCTTTGCCCAGGCGGCTCCTGAGGGGCTCGAGCTGCCACTTCATTCTCACAACATTACTTCTTTGATGCAGACAAGGAGAGACCATTTACCAGCTAGACCGAGAGTCAGGAGACCTGTTCTTCACTCTTAGCTCTTTTCAGCTGTGTGATCAAGGGAAAGGTACTTTGCCTTTCTGAGCTTCCATTTCCTCTTCTTTAAAGGGGGATTAATAGAGCCTACGTCCTAGAGGTGTTGTGAGGATAAAGTGAGCTGGTACATGTCAGAACAGTCTGAGGACTGTAAGCATGCAACAAATATAAGATGCTATTATTACTATTCTCAGATGGGGACCTGGTGTCAGCGAAGGCCCTCCGAGGCTGGCCCCTATACCTTCTAAATCTTTTCTTATGTCTCCATTCTCCCCAACTCACACCTTGTCCAGTCACGGCTGTCTCCCCATTGTCCCTGGATCATTCCTCATTTCTGATTATAAATGAATTCTTGCCACCAACTACTTCTTCAGCAACCCAGGCAGAAGTCTGAGGACCTAGGGGGAAGGAGGTGGAGGATGACAGGCAGGGAAGAGAAGAGGCTGTCCAATGTAACAGTTCTATTCCCTCCTGGTCACACTTGTCAAAAGGGCACCTGAAGTCCCACTCATCAGTCCATTAACAAAGCTACAGTAAAGTCTCATCAGGATATCTAGCCTAGTCATTATCATAATAATAAGAGCCACTCAGATTTATAAGCCTGGTTCAATGGTTAGGTGCTTGGCTGCTAACTGAAAGGTCAGTGGTTCAAACCCACCAACAGCTCCACGAGAGAAAAGATCTGGCGATCTGCTCCTGTAAAGTTTACAGCCTAGGAAACCCTATGGGTCAGTTCTACCCTGTTATCTAAGGTCCTCTGAGTCAGAATTGACTCAACAGCACACAACACTTATATACCACCACCACCTGTCTGTCAGCTTGTGATACCGTGGTGGCTTGCGTGTTGCTATGTTACAGGAAGCAATGCCACGGGTATTTCAAATACCAGCAGAATAGGAAAAATGGCCTGGCAATCTGCTTCCAAAAATTAGCCAATGAAAATCTTTTGGATCACAACAGAATATTGTCCAATAGTGATGGAAGATGAGCCCCCTCGGTTGGAAGGCACTCAAAATACAGTGGTCACAACAATAGACTCAAGCCTACCAACGACTGTGAAGATGCACAGGACCAGGCAATGTTTCATTCTGTTGTATGTGGGATCACCATGAGTCGGAGCCGACTCAGTGGCAACTAACCACATTATATACCAGGCACCAAGCTTCACACGCAGTAACTTATTCAGTCCTCACGACCACCATATGAGATAGGTATGATCATTATCCCCAGTTTACAAATAAGGAAACTGTGTGAGTTCAAAGCCCATGTTCTTTACTCGCTTGGGCTCTCGACATAGTTCCTGCCCTTCAGAACCTACCAGTCTAACAGACAGGATTTCAAAACACAACTAAACCCGTTGCTGTCGAGTTGATTCCGACTCACAGCAACCCTATAGGACAGAGTAGAACTGCCCCATAAGGTTTCCAAGGAGCAGCTGGTGGATTCGAACTGCTGACTTTCTGGTTAACAGCCCTAGCACTGAACCACTGCACCACCAAAGCACAACAGGGAACCTGAAATAGCAAGTCCTGATGAGCAGTCATTATAAAAGGAGATGTGGTCAGGAGCGGGGCCTCAGGACTTATAATCGGCAAGGGCAGATCGGCAAGAGATGGCCCTAAGTTATCTTAGAGGGGGTTGGGCGAAGGAAGGGGGTACAGGGGGAATATAGTCTGGAAGACCGGAAGCTATTGCATGCCAGGACGGAGCTTGGACAAAGGTGGTTGAGAGGCCACAGGAGGGAGGACTTAGCGATATAGAGAGCATATACCTGATAGGACAAGCAAAGAGATGGTCCTTGGGCACTCCCCCTGGAGATAGACTGTCTGAAGTGGGTCTGGACAGGAAGAGAGAAGAGGTAGTGTAATCTAGGCAGGCTTGGGTATGGCATGCTCAGGAGACAGTGAGGCGGCAGGCTTGATGGAAACAGGGAGAATGTTCCTGGGAATCAAAGGTGAGCTACTCTGCAAGGCCTTACATAACACACAAAAGGTCTGGACTTCATCCTGGAGCTTCCCAAGCAGTGCAGGCATATACAGAATTGGTGCTCTAGGAAGCTGGGCCTGGCAGCAGCGTGGAGGAGAGGTGAGAAGACCAGCTGCCATGGTTGCCTCAAGTCCATGGATTTTGGGTGCAGAAGGACCAACGAGACAGGAAGGGTGATCTGAGATGCCACCTCTCCTGCCCCCTCCTGATGCCCAGCCACTTGCCATGCCCAGTAGAGCTGGAAGGTACAGGCTGCCCTTGAGGGGATCTCAGAAATGTGAAGAAGGCTGAGCTGCGTTTTCTTTATTAATAACAAAAAAGTGAAGCCAGTACAGAGTTCCCAAGGGGGAGGAAAAGAAGTGAATACGTGAAATCAACATGCAACATCTCTCCTGACTGGCAACTTGGGAGATGTGGGCTTCAGAGTAAATGCCAAACTCTCCCTGCCTCTCCTTGTATGTGGCAGGCTGGCAGTGTGAAACGAAGCTCTGTGTTGGGGCGCTCACTCACCCACACACAATCAGAGCTGATG